TTGATGTACTTAGGACATAGAGAGAGATGATTGGCTGGTCTCTAGTAGATATTTGAGGACTTGATCTATTTGTGTGTATGCACATATTTTATCTTGAGGAGAACTATCATTTCTTTTTATGCATTTCCTTACTAGCTTTTGTTTCAGACATATTTTATTGGTCGAGTGCTTTAGTTAGAGAACCATTCAAGGGCAACAGTGTAGTAGATGGGGCATAAAAATCAGAATTTTCTTCACTTTTCCCTTCTCTCACATGCATTAAGGACAATGCAAGACTTAAGTAGGGGGGAGGTTATCTCTTCCTTCATTTGCATGCATTAGAGATAATGCATCATTCAAGTAGGGGGGAGAAAAAAAAAATTCAAAAATGTTATGAATATTTTAAAACTTTTGCTGCATTGATTATTTGCACAAACACATATGCTTAAAGAAACAAAGCCTAATGCTCCTTTAAAAGGGTAAGTCAATTAGAAAAGTTTACCTTCTCTAGATTAGGGGTGTGGATCTCATGAAAAAAAGATAGGTGAATTCTTTACCATGATCCTTATTCTTTGAAATATGAAGGAGTTTTTGGTTGTATTCATAGGTATGTGGTGCGACAATAAACAACTAATGATAGTATATTGTGGATGAAAACGATTGAACTAGATCATCTTAGTCTAGTTATTATGTTGTGATTGATAAGTCTTCATTATCTGTATTTACCTTATATTTATCAATATTTAGTGCATAAAATTAACAGAAATAATACATGTTACATTTAATTCGTACATATTTAGATCATTCATACGTAAACATGCATTTTAATATTTTTAATATTATTTTAAGATAATTAATTTTAAATAATTATGCATGAAATATTTTTTATGTGAGCTTTAGGATTTTCTATAATTTATTCTGGATTTCTGAAATTTTCTAGAATTTCTCATAATTTCTAAGAGTTTTTGATATAAACGTCTAAAATAAAAGAAAATCAGAATGAGTTGGGCTGGGCCGAGCCAAGTGACCCAATGGGCCGGAATATTCAGAGGCTAAAAGTTAAACCATCAACAGGTCGACAGTGGAAGCAGAACCGACGAGTTAGCATGACACTTAAGCAGATGTGGGACACGTGGCTCACACGGATTCGACGACATTTCAATGGACATCGTGAACAGAAATTGGCACAATTTACGTCAGACCCCAAGAGAAATGTAATTGGAGATCCGTACCTAATGGCAGAACGTAAAAGAAGAGCGGGTGATAGAGTGAGGCTGTCATTGATCTCTCTTTCTTTCGCGCCTTTTCTCGCTCCCTTTGTCTGTCTGCTCTCTCTCACTCTATCTTGCTCTCGCTTTCTTTCTGTGGATGCGTCCTCGCTCTACGAAGCACGGCGGAGTTCGGACAGCCGGCCGCCTTCTCCTCTCCTCTCCGTCGAGTTCTTCTGGATCCCTTTCTCGTGCGCGAATCCGGAGGAAGAGTGGGAGGCCGCATCCGGCGGAGGAGTCCACCGCCGAAGACGCTGAGGTCACGGTCGGCGCCGCCTCACGGAGAGTTCGTACGTTCTCAGGCTTCTGCTTCCCTGAAAGGCCGCTCCGGGTATGTTCTAGTGCCGTCTTTCGACGAATTCTGGCCTTTCGTTGATTCGGGGGTTATGTTCTAGTGCCGTCTTTCGATGGGTTCGTGATTTTCTGTGTCGGGGGCATCTTCTTGTGGACTCTTTGGATGGGATCTTTATTTTCTTTGATTTGGACTTTCGGTTGCCTGCGGTGGTGCGGGTGGTGCGAGATTGCTGAAGAAAGCTCTGGCTTTCCTCCTTCCTCTTATTTATTTACCTTCTTCCGATTTGTTTTGCCGCTTCGTTGCTGATTCGATTTGATGTTTGGTCTGGGGAGGGGGATCTATCTTCTTCTTTAGACTTCCATCCGATTGCTCTTTGGGGACGGATGAGTGTTACCGTCTGGAGGAGAAAAGATTATTTCAGCAAGGTTTATCGATTGACGGTGACGGGTGAGCGTGTTGAATCAAGGGGCACATTCGATTTTCAGATCGCTGAGCGATCGACCAGTTTCTGGAGAAGAACCCGGTGATTTCCGGCAGGAAACAACACCCTCCGTACCTGCAGCTCTCCCGAGCGTTATTCCCCACCCAGAAAAACCATCAGAACATGGTGGCGGGCTGTCCTGTTGAGAAAGCAGCTGGAATCGAGGGAGGAAGTGTGGACGAGGTTGTCGGGCTACAGGAGGAAGCGAGGATGTCTCCCATCCCGGATCGGGTACATGCTTCGACGTCCCTCATTCCTTTCCTTGACGGCGACTGTAGAGAGCTTTCTCTCTCCATCCCAAAGCACATCACATCTTGACAATAGGAATGTCCTATCCAAAATCGACAGGTGCAGGTCGGAAATTCTCCATTATACAAGGTAGAGAGAATGTTGGGTGCAGGAGGTTTTGGGCTGGTCTACATTGGACGAAGGGTGGCTGGTGGATCTCAGGGCAATGGGCCCAATGCCTTTAAGGTTTAGTTTCAACCTCCCATCACTCCTGCCAAGGGAATCTTTAAATACTGCTGTTTTATGTTGTCTCTTTCATTTTCCTGCGGTGGGTGTAGGTAGCACTGAAGTTTGAGCATAGAAATAGCGCGGGTTGCAGATTTGGCCCCCCATATGAATGGCAAGTTTATGAGTAAGAAGACACCCCCTACTGCTCTAATTTATTACGTATTGTGTCGATCTAAAACTACGTTCTTCATCTGACTTTGTGAATATGATTTTAGCCATCTCAAGGGATGCTATGGATTGCCTAGGGTGCACTACAAGGGCCGCCAAGGAGATTATTTCGTCATGGTTGGCGTAGAGTCTTTCATTTTATTGTTTCCTCGAATTATGCTTTTTATTGAAAGCTAATTATGATATTGTTGATGATGATTGCTGCAGATCATGGACATCCTTGGACCAAGTCTCCTGGATGTGTTCATATCCATTGGGCAAGTGTAAGAAAATAATCTTGACTTCATATTCAAAGTCAATATTCTGTTGAGAATTGTGCTATTGAGTTTGACTAACTCCTTGGACAGAATGCCACCAAATATGGTGGCTTGTATTGCTGTGGAGGCAATATCCATCCTTGAGAAGCTACACCAAAAAGGGTACGTATGGCTTTGTGGCAGTGTGATATTTTTTCAATTAAATTTTTGCAAAGGTCACAGTAATCAATTCATTGCTCCCTTGTGCACTCCCCTCCCTCCCTCCACCCACACAAAAAAAAAAACATGCCAGGTTTGTGCATGGAGACGTCAAGCCAGAGAATTTATTGTTGGGTAAACCCAGAAGCTCAGGGGAGAAGAAGCTTTTTCTCATCGACTTTGGGCTGGGTATGTTGCTGCATTTAATCACTTCTTGTTTTCACCTTT